CCCTGAAGCGACAGATAATCACAGCGCCTGTGCTTGCCTTTGCCACCTTCTCCAAGTCATTTTCAGTTCAAACTGCTGCAAGTCATCAGCGGCTTCAGGCCATCTTCAAAGGAAAAGGAGGTGGGGAGGGGGTTGATATGCAAGCCACTGACTGTGTTGAAAGATGACAACTGATTACACCGATATTTACAGCTGCAACTGTGTTTCTTGAATTGCATATGATGAGTCTTTTGTTGCAATGGTATAATCAAAAAGCTGATTAAAGCAAAGTATAAATCAAAACTTCTTCTTCCATCGGAAGAAGTAAATAGTAAGCAGCAGTAAAATTGGTTGTAGCTTCTTTGCATTCTGATATTAGCATTTCCCATATCACACACCACACGAGCCATGCAGATTTATTCGGATCTGATGAGCACAGCTGTTTGAAGTCAGTTGGGGAATCCTCTTTCATGCAGCAGCAGATCTTCTGAGCTGACCATTTGGTCTGAAAATCATGTGAAATATGCTCTGAAGAAGTAATTTAGTTAAAAGGCTTACTCTACTAAATATCTATACCAGGGGTAGGAAACCTTTCTGATGACGAGTGCCATTTAAAATTTCCTCAGAAGTCAGTGTGCCATATGATTGCATTAGCAATAAATTTAATAACGCTCTATATTAACAGTTACACACTATATAGAACCACTTTATAGAATTATATTTGTTCGCAGATGTTGGCAGCTATCAGCGAATAGTTATCAGCTATTTTGAAACAAAAAAAAGACACTTTTTATCCATAACAAGAACTCCATAACAGCAAATGAACTGTACAACAGAAAATGCAAATGCTATTTATGGTGTTACGGCCCTAGCTGGGCCTCCTGATACTGCCCTTGTGTGGGCGTGGTGTTTTTCTCCGCCTCCTCCTCTCTTGCTCCACCCCTCTGTCTCTCTCTTGCTCTTCTCTCTCCCCAGGACACAGCTGCTGCTCATTGGACTCATTTACCACCTGGGCCCAGTCAGCAATCACTGAGGTTGCTCTGAGGTCATATAAGCTGGGGATGAGCTGTGAGCAGTGTGGGGTGTTTCTCTGGTGTCTTCTGCTTTGTGGTCTTGGTGTGTAGTTATCCTGCCTGAAGTGTGGAGTTGTGGAAACAGTATAGCTGCTTTATGTCAGTAGTGTGGGCTTGTGGGCCTTGGCAGCAGTAAAGCCAACTGCTGTTAGTGACAGGGTGAGCGTATGGGCCCCTGGAAGTGCCTCCTCGTGGTGTGGAGTTTTTGTTTGGTTGTTGTGTTCTTTGTTGTTGCACCCTTTTTTCCTTTTTCCAAGTGTTATTGGTAAAACGGCGTTGCCGGCTCTTTATGTTAAGATTATCTATAATAAAGACTATTTTATTTACTAAAAACACCTGTCTGTTTTCCTTTCATTCTGTTCTGGACTCATTTGTTACTGGTCCCCTCACTCGCATGCCTAGACCCCTTCGGGGGGACGTAACAATGGTCTCCTCACAACAATGATAAGAAAAATAAACTGGGCCAATATGGCATGTTTGTTAATACACTCTGATCTCTGGTCTCCCACTCAGAGACACAGGTCACTCATGTGAGAAATCTGCTTACACAGATATGTAGAGCCAAATACTGTCAATAAGGCCTCTGCAATGTTCTGAAGACAGTTAAACTTGTCAGGCAGTGATGTCCAGCAGGTGAAAATGCAAGCTTCATGAACACACACACAGCTATGGATTCCAGCTGCTTCGATGTTATATGTATGATTTCTATATATTTTACGTCAGATAAAAACTTTGGTTGTAAGCTCCAGATAATTATTTAATAAAAGCTAGACATTTTACATGAGAATAAGAAAGTATTTCTTTGTGCCCCCCTTTCCCTGTTAATGCTCTACCTGGCCCCCTGGCAAAACTTTGCTAGACCTGCCCCTGCATAGTTACCAGGTGTCAACTACATAAAAAAAAAAAAGGTGTTATTTGTCTCTCAGAAACAGTTCATAACTTCCCTTCAACTCATTCATGTCACCTTAAAGGTAAACCTGTTTCTCCATCACCTGTTCAGCTCTGATGATTCAGTAAGGACATCTTCATGTTTCCCTCTCACTAGATAACCAAACCGATATCATGACCAGCAGCTTTTACAGCTGTGGCTCCAGCAAACATCAGCTGATACTTGAAAGTAATATTAAATACATTCTAACAACAGCTGATCAAGCTTAAACGTGCTGCTGTTGTTTAGCGCGACATCCGCCGGTTTCCTCTTTCTGGCGCAAATTGGGCGATAAACAAACAAGAGATATAAGCCGATCAACTGATCATTGATCAGTTTCATGATTGAAGTAGCAACAGGAGAGGGAGGGGGAGAGAATGAGAGAAGAAGAGGCAGCTGTGCAGCGTAACGACAGAATAACTCCAGCTTTGTGTCTTTTTC